AAATCCTGAACCGTAAACGTGGTAGCAAACTATTTGCCACTGATCCAGCAACGCTTGCAAAGCGGTAACCAGCAGCTAGTTAGGATAAGCCTGAGTTTGCAATTCATGCCATGTATTTCTTCCTAACGAAAATCATCTTTCTTCAAGGACATAATTCACAAGCATGTGGATTGTTGCAGAACGTATTCATAAACAGATAGAGCCTAGAGTACAGTTTGGTCAAACGATATTCTTTGAAAGTGTTTTATTGAATAATACGCTTTAATGTGGCACGAACTCTTACCTAATATTTACAGAAAAATATCAATTTTGAACATTCAAAATTACTTCAAGTACCACAATAACCACACGGAATCGGTCAATATAGAAAGGTGCTACGTGATGAGAACATTTTTGCTGCCTGGGGAAACTATCGAGAGGTTGGAAGAGGCCGAGTATTGACTAACAGATTCCACACCGCTGCTGGCAGAACTGTTTTTACATATTTTCTGTTGAATCTGACAAACTTACTCGATGGTGCTCTACAAAGATGCACCGGAGTCATAAATTCAAATTAAATAGTATCATGGATTGATTAATAATAATGGAAACCTGTTTCGGATACAAGATGGCACAATGAAATTTAACAACCGCCTTGAAAGCACTTCTGTGGTCCGCGATCACCTAACATCACAGAATGCAGCGGGAAGTATGAAAGCACCCTGGCGGTTCGATTGGAATTTTAGATCTATACTAGGCGGCAGTATGCTTGGTCACCGAATCGCTCGCTATGCAAAACCTATAGATTTTATGCCTAGCTCCTTATCTCTATTCGAACGTGAACATATGAGCAACTTGTAACTGAACAGCACGAACATACAAAATCGATGAGACCATGGAAGTTGAAGAGATCAGTGGAAATCACAATCGACTCTGACAGCCAGGTGTACATCTGAAAAGAAATCATCACTCTTGTAATAATCCGTTCAGTTTCCGGATTGAGTATAATTTCTTACAAGCATCGGATGCCATTCTTCTGTTCCTCAGCGTCCTTACCACGATACGAGAAGGTGAGTTCTTCACCTGTAAAGAAAGTTTTTGAAAAATCGAGCAGAACGAAAATGGTCAGAAACATTGGAACGAGCTTTTCTCCACCGTAGAATTCCGATTTTCGTCCGCAATTTCTATTGTCAAGTTATAACAAGATGCGTCAAAATTTCTTGCTCAATGTTGCAGCGAATAAAATGATTTTTTGTATCCATTAACCTCTTGGGTGCTTCGACTCCGATCAGTAACGAGTCATACCCAGGCCATGCTTTTTTCTTTTTTGAAAAGCTCGGATCTCATTCTCATTCCAGCCGCGAATATCACTTGTAACTGTAATGTAACTACTTGGCCGCTGATCGAAAACAATCGCTAAACTCGTATAGATAATGAGCAGGAGAACTGTAAACTTCACCATCAAACGATTCAAGACCTTGCAAGTATAGAAGATTGCTCAGAAGGCGGAGGAGAGCAACTGCAATTTCACGAAAACTGTCCGAGGTCAGACATAGTAAGACGCAATCCGAGGAAATAGATAGGGAGAACTGCCAAAGAAGAGCATATCTAATCGCGTTGCATTGCATTGTTAACTAGAAGCTGGGAGTTGATCCTTACAGATTTCAAAAGGTTCTCTTCTTACTGCATCACTCAAGGCAGCGATTACGATAGATTCGAGAAGGTTCGAAGGAGACGTGATGGTGCTCAATGGCACGCAGTGGCGAAAAAAGCTGAGAAATCCGTCAAGAAAACGCAAAACGGACCCTTTTTTGGCCGTTCTTTTCACTCATGAACAGGTAACAGCTCAGAAAGCGGACGTATGAACGAGTTCACGCAATGCGTTTGGTGGCAGCATGCCAAACCACGCTCCAATCGAGTTGCTCCAGTTGTGCCGCTGCTGGCAACGCAGCTCGTCCAAATCACCAACTAAACTAGTGGGCGGATCGCTTTTGGGGAAGTCCTGCTCAGCAACCAGCGCACCTTTCGTCGTGAAAGCGCCACATCTCGCTTCCTTGGCAGCCAAGTAAATGCTTCGTGTGTGCATATGCTTCCCGATACGCTTG